TTCACAAGCGGTGCACTATCACAGTGCGCCACCGGGCCGGCCCCTACTAGTCAGTTTTAAGGAGCTGACTCCCTCATATTGGATATTACCAGATTCTTTATCTAGATTCTCCCTTATAAAATCAACAAAAGCTAATGATTTATTAAGTACCTCCTATGCACCATGCATGTGTTGGGGGTTTTAAATATAACTCATTTAACTCTGTGAAGAAGTAGTTCTCTTCATTAGAGAAAGTAATTATCTTCATTTGAAGTTAAGAAGTTATTGGCCCAAGGTCACTCAACAAGTAAGTGGCATAGTCAACATTCAAACCCAGATCTGCCAGACCCCAGGACCCACTTCTTTCTGCTTCATGACAGAACCACAGAGCTGATGAATCCCTTCTGAGGTTATTTTGCTGACTACAAAAAGGCAGCTCGAAAGATTCTTCTTATCTGCCCTTGCAATAAGAGTAAGCATTTTACAACATCTAAGAAAGGAAAAATATTAGTACAGCTAGAAAAATAGTTTCGATGGAAGTTCTGTCAAATGGCAGGAAGAAAATGGATGAGCAAGTAGCCGTTAAGATAAGAGACAGAGGAAGGAATGTGATTTTAGAAATGCTGGTTCAGGAAAACATTGTAACAATTAAGAAGGTGGAAGAGGAAAAAGGAAGAAATTATTCTGAGATGACATGCTAGAGCAGTTCAGAAGCATATGGCAGTGACCCTATTGCTGTCCGGCAGCCTTTCATTCCCTTCCATGAGAATCAAAAAATGAACTCAAAGTAAAAGAGGAAAAAAGGAATATTTAGTATCAACTAGTGTTACCAAGATAAAATGTTTTAGATTGGTTCCCAGTGCTAGAACACAGTACACATTAACATTCCATGTATATTTTTGGAAACTTGTTCTACCCACATTTTTATAAATGTACGGGTGTTTTGCTTTGTTTTGTTTTTCGTAATACCCACGGTCTTTTTGAAATGTCTATAACTTTTCCTAGAATATGAAGACAATATCTTCTGTGTACATAAAAATATGTTTAAAGTTAGTTTTATGGCAGTGTCTAGCATGTTGTCCTTAACTTTCATATGACACAATGTCCTGCTGGAAAACAATAGAATCATAAGTCTGAGATTTGAGAGGTCAAGATCTGAGCCTAGTTTGCCACTGACCTGACTGACCATAAATAATTTGTAAGATGAGGCACAAGATTGCCTCAGTCAGCTGTGGAAATTTTTCAGTAATACTTATAAATGAGAATATTTCAGAGGCTTTAAAGTGGCAGGGAAAATATACAATTTATTCTTCTGGAACTCCCCACAATTCTATAGAATTTTATTAGGGAAACAGCAGTTAATGGGAGAGTCAGTTTTAAAATACTAGTGATAATTAGTCAAGATAAATCCCTTTAATTAATTAAAAAGTGGAACTTGACAATATAGGCAGTCTCTCCTTTTATTTAGACTCATTGTATTCCAAGAAATCTTCTCTCACTCTCCTCTCCAGTTGCTTCTGGCACGTTCACATGGCCCCAGCACTTAGCATTTTGTTCTGGTAGTTCTTCACTCTGGATTGTAAACTCCTAAAAGCAGACTCTGTGTCCGTTTCATACCTATCAAAGAGCCTAGTATAGTGTTCAACATAGAGTAGGTATTTGATACTTCAATTAATTAATTAATGGTTCTATTACGAGGCCCAATCCTGACTACACATCCTTACAAACTTAACATGTAAACGTTGATGCCTTTGTATGTTTGAACTGGGGGGAAAGTAGCCAAATAAGTGCTTATATATAGCAAGAAACAAAGAAATCATTGAGGCTGTTTTGTTTGGATTTTTAATTTAAAAATAGAACATTCTTATTCTAATAGTTCAAAAAGTACAGAGGTATGTAATGAGCAAGTCAGTCATTTCTTTATTATCCAGTCTTTTTTCTTCTCATTCTGCCTTCCCTGTCAGATATCTATACTATATAAATGTTATTTGTATTTAATATATCATGGACAATAATCTAGGTAAATACATGAGAATCTAACTCACTTTTTTATGCTCAATACCATTTTAATTAACATATGCCTTTTAGCTATGGTGGGTAATATACCTTGAAACTGGGTTTTAAAAAGTTTTCCTTGTGTTACATTTCAGAAAGGACTGTGCCTTTTGGTTGGGGGGGATGGGGAGGGAAGTATACCAATTTACCATTTTTAAATATACAGTTCAATGGCATTAAGTACATTCACATTGTTGTGGTACCATCCCCACCATCCATCTCCAGAACTCTTCATCTTGCAAAAAGTAAAACCTCTGTATTCATTAAACAGTAATTGCCTATTATCTATCCCAAGCGCCTGACAATCATCATTCTACTTTCTGTCTCTATGAATTTGATCACTCCAGGTACCTCATGTACATGGAATCACAGTATTTATCTTTTTGTGACTGGCTTATTTCACTTAGCATAATGTCCTCAAAATTTGTCATGCTGTAGCATATGTCAAAATTTTCCTCCCTTTTAAGATTGAATAATATTGCATTGTATGTGTATATCACATTTTGTTTATGCATTCATCTGTCAATGGACACTTGGGTTGCATTCACCTTTTGGCTATTGTAAATAATGCTGCTGTGGACATTGATTTACAAATGCCTGTTTCAATCTATGTTTCAATTCTCTTGGGTATATACCCTGAAGTAGAATTGCTGAATTATGTGGTAATTCTATGTCTAATTTATTGAAAAAAACACCACACTGGTTTTCCATAGCAGCTGTACCATTTTACATTTCCACCAGCAGTGTATGAGGATTCTGGGTTTTTCACATCCTCACCAACACTTGTTATTTGCTGTTATTTGCTGTTTTTTGATAATACCCATCCTAATGGTTTAAAGTGGTATCTCATTGTGGTTTTGATTTGCATTTCCCTAATTATTAATTGTGAAAAATGCCTTCACCTGTCCAAGGCCAAAGGATGGACACAGAGACACAAGCTACAGCAAAGTGAGACTTTAATATACGGCAAGGTTCGGGTGTCTGATGGGCAGGCACACGGAAAAGGGCTGTAGCAAGTAATTTATTCCCTAGTGCGCAAGTCCCTGCCCCCCTTCCTTATTGGTCAAGAGTACTACAGGGTGCACAATCTTCCCAGATGACGTTTAAGATTACCCCAATTTACTACCCCCTTGTAAAAAATTTCTTTGTCTGAGGGCTCAGGACAAGCCTGTGAAAAAGGCCCACTGAAACCCTGTGAAAGGAGAAACTAGGGAATGAACAGGACAATAAAGGCTAGTAACTCATTACCATTTAAAGGAGAACTTTATCTATTTGAAGTGAAAATTAAGGGCTGGTAACTCATTACCATCTCAAGGAGAACTTTGTCTATTCAGCGATCCCCCAGGAATGGACTGGACCAGTCAGACAACTTTCAGGCTGGGCCTGAATTATTTCTGAAAATGAATCACTTACATTATTTTCTCACATTAATGATGTTGAGCATCTTTTCACATGCTCATTGGCCGTCTATATATCTTCTTTGGAGAAATATTTATTGCCCATTTTTAAATTGGGTTGTTTTTTGTCATTCTTGAGTTTTAGGCATTCTTTATATATTCTGGATATTAATCCCTTTTCAAATATATTGCAAATATTTCCTCCCATTCTGTGGGCTGTCTTTTCACTCTGTTGTGAGTGCATAAAAATTTTCAATTTTGATAAAGTCCAGTTCATCTCTTTTTTCTTTTCATTGCCTATGCTTTTGGTGTAATATCTGAGAAGTCATTGCTAAATCCAATGTCATGAGGCTTTTCCACTATGTTTTCGTCCAAGAGTTTTATAGTTTTAGCTCTTATGTTTAGGTCTTTGATCCATTTGAGTTGATTTCTGTATATGATGTAAGATTCCAAGTTTATTCTTTTGCACATGGATATGCAGCAATGTCTGTTGAAAAACTCTCTTTTCCCCATTGTGAATGGTCTTGGCACCTTTATTGAAAATGATTTAACCATATATGTGAGGGATTATTTCTGGGCTTTCTATTCCCAAAATCATTTTTTAATTAATTTATTTACTTTAATTGACACATTGTAATTATACATACTTATGAGGTACAATCTGATGTTTTGATATATTTATATGTCATATAATGATTGGGTCAGTGTAATTAATGTACCATCACCTCATGCATTTATCACTTCTCTGTGGTGAAAGCATTCAAAAGTCTCTCCTCTAGCTATTATGTAACATACAAAACTTAACTGTTAACCGTAGTCACCCTATGTGCAACAGAACACCACAATTTATTCCTGTCTAATTGTAATTTTATACTCTTTGGCCAGCCTCTCTTTGTTTTCCCCTCCCCCTCCCCTGTCTCTTGATAACCACTCCCTGATAACCAATCCGAACTCATTTTCATTGGGTGTTATTCATCTGTAATATGGATATGTTAGTTTATTCAAACATTCCCCTACTGATGGACATACAGGTGTGTCTAGGCTTATGCCACTATAAGCAATGTTTCAGTAAACATTTTAGAATATGTAGTCTTACTCCTGGTGCTTTTATTTCTCCATAATGGATTCACAAAAGTAGAATTGCTAGACCAAGTGGTATGTTTAGTTTTTAATTTCAGCAGGCAGGTTATTTTTCAAAAAGGATGTATGATTTTACATTTCCACCAGCCATAGATGAAAGCCTGTTTCTCTACACCCTTTGTAGCACTTAGAAATATTTTAATGTTTCATATGATCAGTTAAAAATGTCAAGAAGTCTTTGTCAGTCAGTATTTAACAAGGAAACATGAAAAGATAGTATTTCTTAAATATTTGAAACACATTTTAGTCTTGTTTTGTTAAAAAATTTGTCCTTTCATAACATGAAAAATGCAAGTGACAACAGTCATTTCCATGTGTAGTTGAGCAGGTAAATTAACATTCTGAAACAAGTAGATTTTAAGTAGTTTTCTTCTTTTGACCATTTTCTTGAAGTAAGCAAACTAATCAATGGCTTCTAATTTTTCCCAGCTTAATGCAGATATTGAAAGAGAAGAAGGAGAAGAGTTTGAAGACAACATGGATGTTTTTGATGACAACAGTTCCAGCCCTTCTGGCACTTTAAGAAATTATCCACTTACCTGCAAAGTTGTTTATTCCTACAAGGTTTGTATTTCTCCAACATACTGCTGATATTAAATTGTGGCAACTCCTAGGATACTCATAACTGTATCTACCCAGCCTCTCATTCAGTGCTTAGCATAAAATTGGTGTTCAGTTTATATTAGAGGCAACATAACACAATGGTGAGGCATTTAGGCTCTGATGTCACACTGCCTGGATTAAAGTTCTTTCTCTGCTGCTTATGAGCTATAAATCCGTTAGTCTCTGTGAGCCTCTGTTTCTTTATGTATATCATACAGATAATATTGTAGGGTTATGTGAAGATTAAATGAGATAATACTTTTATTGCAAAGCACTTAACACAGTACCTGGTATCTAGTAAGTTTTCTGTAAATAGAACTGTTATCTTTATTACTGTCAATTGTCTGCTTGGCGTAGGACCCTCCATTAGGATGACCCTCAAAATTAACATCACAGAAAAATTATTCTACAAGGCAGTTTTTAAAACTTTGCCTTTCCTCATTTTAACATAACCACCTCTTGTTAATCCTTGTTAAGCAAGGACCTGGATAAATAAATGCCAGAATTTCCCAACTGATTTGGTGTAATAGTTCTTAACTTCTCTCATCCCTTCCCTGCTTTCCCATTAAGGTTTTATTCAGCACAAAGTAAATTGAGTTTTACTTCGCCAGTACCTCTTTTTCCCTCACTCCCCTCATCTAGTCCATCAGCCAGTCCTATTGAGTCTACCTCCAAAACATGTCCTGAATCTATTCACTTTTCCCCATTTCTACGTCACCATCTTGGTCTAGGCCATTGGTTTGATTACTATGAAAGAAAAAAAAAACCTCATAATTGGTCTCCCTCTTTCATACTTGCCTTCCAGCAGTCCATTTTCCACTCTGCAGCCACAATTATATTTATCACATAAAGGAAATGATTTTATTTCCCTTCCTAAAACCCTTTTTAAGCTTTCCATCACATGTAGAAAAAACCCAAACTCTTCCCTAGGGTCTATTATTGTTCAGCCTGATCGGGCCCCTGCCAGTCTCCCTAGCTTCATGTCAGTCCATTCCCCCACCCCACCCACTCACTGCACGTTAGTCACTTTGGCTGCCTTTTAGTCTTCAAAAGCACCAGGGTTCTTCCTAACTTGACATCTTTGTACTTGCTGCTCCCTCTACCTAGAACTCTCTTTCCCCAAATCTCAGTTGGCTGCCCACTGTTCTTCATTGATGCTCAGCTCAAATAGTGCCTCTTAAGGTCAACCCTAACCATCTCAATACATAACCAACTCCTTAGTCACTACTCTCTATCCCATTGCCCTCTTTTATTTATTGTATAGCACTTATTACTAGACAAACTTAATCTTACTTGTTTTCATATTTCTTTGGCTTCCCACTAAAAGTTCATGAAGGCAGAAATTTTGTCTGTGTCTGCGTACCTTGTCTGTTTGTCTTCAGCACCTAGGACAGTGCTTGGCACATAGTAGGTCATCATTAAATAATTGTGAAATGAGTAATGTAAGAAAGGCGTGAACAAATGAATCCTTCTCTGGCCCCCATTCTGATGGAGACACCAATGAGAAAGGATAATGCTAAGGGTTAACAACAGAGGTAGTGTCTGGAGAGAATCTTCAACTATCGTACACTGGATAGTCTCACTCCCACCTCTGCCATCCTTGTGTAGCCAAAGGTTGGCATTATTTTCTCCTCAATATCAGTGATTCCCAAACTTTTATGAGTTTAACATTCTTTCATTATATATTTAAATTCATAACACTTTCTGTTTTCTAAAAACAATTTACATCGGGGATTTTTTTTCCCCAATGTAAATTGTTTTGATAATCTTTTGAAAATTTGAAATCATCTTCTGAGATACTTGGAAAGGTCTTATAGGGTATTATAAAACTAAGGTTGGGAATGTTTCCCAATGTCACCTCTCATTGTTATATTTACTTGAAAGTTTCAGAACTAAAATTTAAGGTACTTAAATGGAGAAGGTCCTAAGTATCTGCGTGATTTTAAACAGCTCATATTCATTCAACATTTCCTCTATTGGCATATCCAGGCATGTCCCTAAGGTAAACCAAACTATAAAAATCTATTTAGTCAGTTAATCATTGAATGAACATTTATTGAGTGCCCAATACCAGCCAGCCACCAAACAAACAAAAAGGCTTAAAAATGTTCATAAGTTTTGACCCTATTAGCATCTATCCTAAGGAAATGAACCATAATATAGAAAAACATTTTGGATACAAAAATGTTCTTCCATTATAGAACTACTTTATAATAGCTGAAAGTTCACAGTCCAATAAGGAAACAGTTAAATAAATTAACCATTCATATACCATAACCATATAATACTATGAAGATTATTGAAATTTACATTAGTTAGAATTTTTATATAAGAACAAACACTTGTTATAATGTCACGTTAGAGTAGGATACCAAACTGTATGTACCTTAAAATCTCAATTATGCATATTTTCTAGCTTCTGTACAATGAACATGTCTTACTTTTATAATTAAGAAAAGCACATTGTTTTAAAAGAAAATATAGGAAATTTGGAGAAATATTGGTGGTAATGGAGCTCTAGCTATTACTGGATATTAGGACTTAAGGAGACAGTGTCAGACCATGAGTATATTTAATAACCATTTACTGACCACTTGCTGTCTTTAGTTGAGATAAGTGAGAAGAAATACAACCTCTGCCTTAATTAAGTCTTTCTAGTAGGAAGCTCACAAGGACAAATAACTAACGAGAGGGGCCATGATAATCACTGTTAGAGGGATGTGCAAAGCCTTAGAAGAACAAAAGGAAGAGGAAGCAACTAGCTCATCATGCGTGGTCTGGGAAAACCACCTGGGCCTCAAGTCATGAGTAATAATAATAGCTACTATTTATTTGTTTGTTTATTATTATTTAATGTATTTATGTATTTATTTATTTCTAATCTCTACAAGGAAGATATTATATCCCCTTCATTCAACAAATAATACTTAAGCACCTTCCATGTATCAGTGCTGTTTTAAGGCTCTGGAATGTAGCATTGATCAAGTCAGAAAAAAATCCCTGCCCTCCTTGATTTGCTGTCCACATCTTGGACACATGTACTGACGGTCAGCTTGCCCCATAAATATTTATAATCAATAATATTAAATTTAAAAAATAATTAATTTTTAAAAATCTCTGCCCTCATGGAGCTTATGTTCTAGTAGGACAGAAGAGAAAAATGAGGCTCAAAGACATCTTACATTTGCTTGCCAATAGAAACAGACTGAAGCTGGACTGAAACCCACAGTAATCTAAATCCATTTAGCAGATAAGAAAAAGGGAGCAGAGTGCTCGCTTCGGCAGCACATATACTAAAATTGGAACGATACAGAGAAGATTAGCATGGCCCCTGCGCAAGGATGACACGCAAATTCGTGAAGCGTTCCATATTTTTGAAACGAGTCAGGCAGAGAAAAAGAAATACCACATGTTCTCACTCATTGGTGGGAGCTAAAAAAAAAAAAAAAAACAAATTAATTCACCCACATACACACACACAAAAAAAAACCGGGGGGCGGGGGGGAAGAAGATATAACAACTAAACTTTAATGAAGTTGTTACAACAAGCAAACGGAAAGGACATTCTTGGGGGGGAGGGGAGAGAGGGAGGAGGGAGGGAGGTGTCGGTGATGGGCCATAATAATCATATACAGTGTATATTGACAAAATAAAAATAAAAAAAAATTAAAAAAAATAAAGAAAAAGGGAGCAGAGCATGCTGGACAGAAGGAACAGCCTGGTAAAAGCATAGACGCAAGGGGCCGGCCCGGTGGTGCACTCGGTAGAGTGCGGTGCTTGGGAGCGCAGCGGCGCTCCCGCCGAGGGTTCGGATCCCATATAGAGACCAGTCCACTCACTGGTTGAGCACAGTGCGGGCGCGACACCGAGGGTTGCGATCCCGTTGCTGATCGCGGTACGGGCGTGACACCGAGGGTTGCGATCCCGTTGCCAGTCACGAAAAAAGACAAAAAGGAAAAAAAAAAAAAAGCATAGATGCAAGGAAAAGCATGGTGTGTTCAGAGAACAGGGAATAGTGTGCCGGGTCCAAAGCATCAAGAGGTCCAAAGAGACAAAACTTTAGTCTTGGTTGTCATGCAAAGGACTTGACCTTGTTAAGTGGAAGAATTGGTCATCACTGCGTGGGGATGGTATGATCAAGCTAGTGTCTGCTCATATTGGACAACAAGTGCTGCAGTGCTGGACAACTGGCACAGACCTCCATGACTTTTTTTACAAGGGCAGCAATATATTTAAAGATGCTCTATCCCTCCTGCTTTGCTCTCACACATATTAAAGTCTGGTTGTGTTGATACTTTTTAAGTCTTGCCACAGAATTAGCAAAACATCTTTATTACAGAGGCACCTTTTGCTGGTATGTATATTCAGGGCATAGTGTAGTTTCAGAGTAGTAAAGAAATTCCATTGGGAAAGCTATCAAGAGTAAACGAGCAAGGTTTTTCCCCTCATGTTTTGAGTTCAGAGGTAATTTACTTAAAAATCTGGTCCTGGATTATTCTGTGATTTGTTAGCCATTTTCAATACTGTTTTTCTGTCTCACAGAGCTATGGCAACACCTAGAATCTGGGTTTTGATTAAATGTTTTAATGTTCATGAAACAGGAAATGTGTCTTGGAAAGTGACCCATTTTCTTATTTTTGCTTATCTAACTTAGAGATATTTTACACTTTGAGATTATGAGGCTTGAAAAACTATAGAGTCTTAGGTGGTAGTTTTAACTGATCTTGGGACTTGGGAAAAGCTTTTAAGACTGTTTACTAGAGAGCTAGAAGATGCCAGTAAGCCCCTGCCTGTAACATGTGACAGGCAAGACTCCTTGGGAAGTCAAACAGACTCTGCACCCCCTCTGCGGAGCCTCTGAGAGTTTCCTCTCAGGTTATGCAGTCTCCCAGGCAATGTCCAGGTGCCGATGCTAGTAGACTTCTGCTGTCAGGGATAATAAAACCATAACAGTTAGCAGCTAGTGCAGAAGCACTCAAGTGGACCAGCTCAGTCTTCAGAGTTAAGTTGGAACATAATAAATCCAAATCTTGACCAATCTCAAATCATTTCCTTTCCCACAATTTTCTTCTTTTGGCCAATGTTTTGCAGTGATTCCAGATCAATCCTAGGCACTGCTCAAGCTGTCACCTAATCCATGTACATAGTTCTTCGCATTTTCACATCATGCCACCTCCATGGTAGCCCTCTGGTAGCAGTTCCAATTCAGTGCCTTTGCCTTTGCCTCCCACATCATCATGGTTCTGTGCTTATTCATCCCAAATTGATTCTCTTATCCTCCAGAGAATAGCAGGATTGTCATTTTGAAGAAAGGGAGGCATCATGTTGAATAAGTTACCAGTAGATACATATGCTGGAGCTGGAACCCAGCACAGTGCTCTGTGCACCAAACCTGATTGCCTCTTGAATTTCAGTTTATCCAGTTTTTGTTGTAGTTTTATTTTGTTTAGTTTTTTAAAGTAAAACTTCACCTCATTATGATAGTTTTACAGCACCTAAATTTTTATGTTCAATACATTTCTCAAAGTCATTTCAATATTTTGATCCCCCATTTTTGTTATGATCAGCTCACATCTGTTCTTTATCTAACCTTTTTAATTTTGTCCATGACCATCCTACATTGCAGGCTTCTCAACCAGATGAGTTGACCATTGAGGAACATGAGGTGTTAGAAGTGATTGAAGATGGAGATATGGAAGACTGGGTAAAGGTATATTCCTTTGCTCATATAGCCCCTTCTTGTGACATTTTTAGGAGTTTGTTTTGGTTCTTGTTATGCCCTGTCCAAATTGTGTGTACAAACCTGTTGTGTCACATGTCTTTTATCCAGGCTCGAAATAAAGTTGGCCAAGTGGGTTACGTGCCAGAAAAGTACCTACAGTTTCCCACCTCGAACAGCCTACTGAGCATGCTGCAGTCGTTGGCTGCTTTGGACAGTCGGTCACATACATCCAGCAATTCCACGGAAGCAGAACTCGTTTCAGGCAGCCTCAATGGAGATGCCAGTGGTAAAGACTGAAACAAGGCACTCTTTATTTGGTCACATTTGACCTAAACTGTATTACCCTGGAGCAAGCCTTCAGTAGGTTAAAGAGCACAACTTTATTCCTATCCTATACTATGTTCTCCTTTATTTGGTCACATTTGTCCTGTACAGTAGATCTTCAGTGAGTAAAAAAATTACAACTTTATTCCTTTTCTATGTGATGCTCTTTTAGTTGTCAGGTGAGCACAGGGGTGGTTGCAAAAGCAACCTGGTTCTCAGTGTTCTTACTAGGTTTGTTTCTCTCTTCCTCCCTAGTCTGTTTTGCAAAAGCACTTTATGATTATGAGGGCCAGACAGATGATGAGTTATCTTTTCCTGAGGGAGCAATCATCCGTATCTTGAACAAAGAAAACCAAGATGATGATGGCTTCTGGGAAGGGGAATTCAATGGGCGGATTGGAGTTTTCCCTTCGGTGCTAGTGGAAGAACTTTCAGCCTCAGAAAATGGCGACACTCCATGGCTGAGAGAGATTCAGGTACATGAAAAGGGATAAAGCTGAATTAAAAGATGTGCAAAGAAAATTACTCCCAAGAGATCCAAGCAAAAGTGGGCTGTAGTCTCTGCCTCACCCTCACCCCTCCAGTCCTCAGCTGCCAGGTGTCTACAAAACTGAATTTGGGAAACCACAGACTTCTCAGTCAGGGCCTTGTGGAATATGGCTGTATTACACCTCCATTCTCCCACATTCTGTTCTCTGAATCGGTTAGCCAAAATGCTAAATTGTACGTGTTTTGGTTTGGCAGAGAGAAGAAACAAACCAGAGAGAGAACGTGTTATCTCTGGTTAGTTTATGTAGTAAAACTCTTAGCTGGCTCTTGCTCTCCCTCACTGTCAGAGCCTCCCTGGCTAGCCCAGGTCCTACCAGTCCATTTCAGAGAATTATGAGCCTGCCAGAGCCTCCTTTCCACACCCAAGTGGCCCTAGGCTTAGCTCATCCTAGGGACACTTGACTTTACAGGAAACGCCTAATTCAACAATTTGGTTTGTCCTCTCTAGTTTTCTATCACAGCAGGCCTGGCATGCAAAGGAATAAGGAACATGTTAGCCAATCTTGTTTGCATGGTGATTGTGACCACTGTGCCTGACATATACAGAACTTGGGGAAGTCAGAAACTCAGCCAATTATTTTATCTTCACACACAAAAAATAATACTAGTCCCTTTTTTATTGTTCTTCACTGAGTTTACTGAATTGACTAATTTGAATTGATATTTTCAATAGAACCGTATAGAATTGTTTGATAACTGGTTAAGAAAAACTAAAATCAGTACTGTAATGAGATATGAAAGAGGAAAGTAAGGTGCAACACAAAGTTGGGGTTTGGGTGGTAATTTTAGGCTCATTTGCTTCTAATGAGGCTGACAAGTTATAATAGTTATAACTTAGCTCTAGAGAAAAGGAATGTGTGCGGTCAGAGAGCAGCCAGGCTTTCCTTCTTGAGGAGATGAGCACCTGATAACCTTGCTTCCCTTTGCAGCAGATCTCTCCTTCCCCCAAGCCACACGCCTCCCTGCCTCCACTGCCATTGTATGACCAGCCTCCCAGCAGCCCTTATCCCAGCCCAGATAAGAGGAGCTCCCAGTACTTTTCCCGGTCTCCTTCAGCAAATGGTAAGGGTAATTTCTCCTGCACATGGGTCTAAATGCATTTTCACTTCAGAAATTCACACATTCACCTGAAGAGCAAACAGATCTGCATTAACATTTTGTTGCTCAACAACACAATTAAAATGAGCTTCTTTGGTTCTCTCCCTTAGAAAACTGCCTCCATGCCGAATCACCAGGATTCTCACAGGCATCAAGGCTCACGCCTGAGACCTCATATGGCAAGCTGCGACCTGTAAGTCTCCTATATGGCAGGGTTATAGAATGTGTAGTTCTTCCAAATTGAAAGTTGAAATTATTCCCCTTGGCCCCTGTGTTGTCACTAATTCTGCTAAGCAAGGGTGAAATGGGTTCGGGAAGGTAAAAAGGGCTACTGAAAAGGAAGGCTATGAAAGTCAGCTCATCTTGGGACGTTTAGTCTACACCAGAAATTTTCTCACTGAGCTATGCTGAGATTGCAAAATGATAGCTGTGACAGCGTATTTAAATTTTAACAAGCTCTATGAGCATTAAAGTAGTCTAATTGTGAAACAGAAGTGCTTTTTAAAAGCAAGCATGTATTGAAGACCTATTTTCCAGGCTTGTATTTGCCTGTTTGAGGGACACTGAGATGAAATAATATGACACACTTCATGGTCTCAAAGAGTTTCTGTTCTCAGGGTGAATACACTCCTGCAAAAGTTATTACTACTCACCCTTCACTCTACTGCAATCTTGATTCCACCCCACCGCTATACTTAAAGGTCATGACTTTCACATTGGTAATCCAGTGGATATTTTGCAATTTTATTTTCCTTGATCCCTTATCAGATTTTTGACACCATTCCTTGAACCACTAGCTTCCTTCAGCAGATGTGTATTGAGTGCCTTGTTAAGGACTTGGGTCTTTATCCTAAGTGTGATAGAAAACCATTGGAAGGTGGTAAGCAGGATAGTGTTGTGACTGGTTTTGCATTTTTAAAACATTGCTATGACCGCTAAGTGGAAAGTGAATGGAAGGTGGCAGGATGGATATGGGAAGCCATTAGGGGGCTGGAGCAGTGGTCCAAGCAAGAGGTGGTGGTAGAATGCAGGGGGGAGTGGGAGTGGGAATGGAGGGAAGTGGATTGATTTGCTTGTTCCGCCCCACTTTCCTGGTTTGCTTTCTGCCTCTCTGTATCTTCCTATTCTCGGAACTTTGCAGCCTTTTCTGCCTCTGTCCATCTCTGCTGATACTTCTAATGGTCCTGTCCCCAGGCTGCTTCTCTTGAAGAAGTCACTAAATGCACTTTTCCCAAGTGATCTCATCTATTCCCACGGGTGTAATAACCATTTATATGCCAACAACTCCCACATTTATAACTGCCTATCCATTCTCTTCCTTGAGCTTCAGGCTTGGGGAGGTCTCAACTTACATGTCCCAGACCCCCAGAACTCATCAAAAATGAATTAATTATCTTCCCTCCTGAACAAGCTTCTTCTCCTGTATTGCCTGTCTTGCTGAATAGAACCCCCATCCTACTAGTGCTCTAACATCATTCTTGATATCTCCCTGGCTCTGCCACCCACAAACAGTCATCACCAAATGCTGCCAAGTTTACCTTGGACACAGCTCTCAAATCCTTCCAGTTCTCTGCTCCCTCCACTGCCGGTACTCTAGCTCAGGCTACCATCAACTCTCCTTCAGATAACTACAAAAGTCTTCTTAATTGTTTTTTTTTTACTTATACTCTTGCCCATCTCCAATCTTTTCTCCAAACTGTTATCTGAGTCTTTGCACAGATCTGATACTGCTTAAAAGCCACCAAACACTCCTTTTTGCCTATAGAATAAAGCACAGATTTCTTAACATGGCTTAACAAGGCATTTCATGACTTAACCCCAGCCTACCTCTCTAGCCTCATCTCTTACAACTCTCTTCCCAAGACATGCTGAAATGTTGTTAGTTCTCTAAACATTGCTATCTCTTGCTTCCAACTCCAGGCCTTTGCTTTGGAGAAGAATTTTAGGGCTACAGTTACTCTTGTGTCACTGAGGCTTTCAGGCTAGGCAAGAACCTGATTCATGGGTTTGACATTTCATCTAAAACAACTGCTTCTCAGTATGGGAAATAGTGAAGATTAGGTTGAAAGCATGTGCTTAGAGCATTTCTGAGACCCCTAAGGTGCCCGTGTCCTTGGATAGGTGAGGGGACGCTGACAATCCATCTAATTGTTTTCTGCTCAGGTCCGGGCAGCTCCCCCTCCACCTACACAGAACCACCGAAGGCCAGCAGAGAAGATCGAGGATGTGGAAATCACGCTGGTGTGACGATGGCTTTGGCCATACATTACTGTTACAATCAAGGCCAGGCTTGGAGTTTGGCTAGTCTTGTTTTTTAGGCACCTTTGCATGATGATGACTCTTGAACAGAGCAAAAACAAAGAGGATTATATGTGACTGGTTGGCCTGGTGAGCTTCTCCCATGTTTTGAATATTTTGTGCCTTTTTTTGTTGTCATTTTCTATGTCATCTCTCCTACCATAGCACAAATCCTAGTGGACCCTAGAAACAGAGATGGGACAGCCCTCATGCCTAACAGTGGTCCATTTTTATATGAAACTCAAGACCAGGCCTCATTCCAGGGCACAGTCACAGAATTACTGATCATGTGCACTCGTACAGTATATTACTGTGGCCACAAGGACGTGGCAGAGATTCTCATCTTTATTCAAGTGGCTTTTGCTCATTTGATTGTTAATCAGATCATGTTGGCTACATAAGGAAACAAAGGAGGGATTTCAGGAGAGGCTGGCTCCTCCCCAAGATTAGTCCCCAGACTGAGAACGTGAAACCTTACTGGGAAAAAAGTGGCCTGCCCTGAGTTTAGCGCCAATTGCATTAACACACATCTCTCTCACAACTAACAGATTTTAAATAACAGTGTCCTTTGTATTAATATTTATACCATTCATTTAGTATTAGTGGAGCTAATATGGAGGGGCTGAACTAGTAGCCACATCTTGTCCATCACATAGACTAATAGAAAGGAGGCTATGGCTAAAACAGAAATGGAACTTCCAGATCTGAAATGAGCCAATTTAATATTCTTTTTGTATTTGGATATTTTTCATCTTAATTTTTACAAAATATGCTCTTCTGACCAGTGTCTTTAGAATCTGTGTCTAGTAAATGGAGAACATGTTATCTGCATTGTTGAGCTTCTCTACTGGGGAGGGCCCTAGCATTATTTTATTCCCCAGCCAGTACATTGGCCAAGATAGCCAGGTTGTGGCTTATGTAAACCAGCTGCCACCTGTGGAAAGTGGAGCTTCCTGGTCCCACTGCCCTGGCCTCTCCTTGGGATGAAGAACCCGTGGGCTCATGGAGGAAACCGCTTCCTATGAGAAAGGACTAAAAGATTGCATACCCTGCACAAGAGCAGACTGATGCGGAAAAGGCAAATGTCTTCTGCGTGTCACAGGGGGAACCAGGAGTGGTGTTCTCCACAGCTAGCAAGCCCACAGCAGCAGATGCCCTGCAGTAGGATAGGCCTCTGGTTCCCCACTCCTGTGGAAGGTAGGGAGTGTTACCTAATGACTAAGGGATGTTTGCCAGTGGCCTTTTTACTTTTGTTAAGAAATCAAATTGGCAGAATTTAATCCAAAAGTTGTATTATGCTTTGAAAATTCCGTCCCTCCTAAGAACCTTTAAAAATTTGAAATACTCGCCAAATGTCCCCATGGGATTTTTTACCAAAAGTCAGGTCATAGCTGAAGAAATGTTCAGTTAGTCATTTGATCACTTCAGTGACAATATCTATTGATGAATCTTCTCCATGATTTTGGATTGGTTTTGTTTTTTGCATTTCTTAACCTGTTGATCTATTTGAGGTCTTTTTGTTTATCAAACTTATTCTTAAGTTTAAAAACGAAATTAAAAGGGTGGGTTTTTTAAAGATTTTAAGGTTTGCTGACATGCTGAAAATCTTCAAAGTGCTTATAAATAGAGCAGTTCTTGCCACCCATTCTTGTTTTCTGTCTTTAGCTAGCCAAATTGTCCTTGAATTTGGGTTTTCCACCTCAGAGGGTTATTTGAAATCTTTTGTTATATTTTAAAATATTTTTTCGAAGAGCTGCTAATTTTATTTTAAAAAACAAAAGTTGTAAAAATATGCCTCCTTTAAAAAAAATAACTCTTCCCTCCAGAATATGTAACCCAGCATCACAATGCACAGGGTAGGGCTCGGAGGGGGCCTCTGTGCAGATGTGCTTTCTTTACAGTGGCTGTAAAAAGTTTGTATTTATTATGTATAAAATGTTGAATAATAAAAAAATGGAATTAAGTTTTCTAAGTTTCCTTATAAAAATATTTGGGTAAACGGACTTTTCCAAAAAGATCGTGCTTCTTATAAAGACACTCCTGGGCCCTCCTTTAAACCACTTAACAGATACAGAGAGAAGTAAGTAAATTAATCCGTCCATGGGACAAACAGTCCCTGATGCTGCCCATGTGCCAGGTGTAATATCCTGGGTACAAGAGATTGAAGTAAGTTATGGTCTTTGCTTTCAAGGCTCTTCTCCAGTGGGGGAAAAAAGACAGGTACATACATAGGACAGTACTATGACACACATGCTAGAAGGGAGGGCAGACAGCGTGCTGAGTGAGACAAGGAGGGAGCTCTGATTCTGCTGCTGGAGAGGCAAGAGGATCCCTGAAGTCCCCTTGGAGGATGTGACCACTGGCTTACAGGTGGTGGGCATTCTGAACATCTCTCTACTTTCCTAAACCTCCATCCTGAGGAGCAATGAATCATGTGGAAGGAGAGTCTATTGGCCCCAGGAGTGGATAAAAGAGTCCTGGTTAAAGGCTGAGTCCCTCTGGCTTCCAGCCAGCCATACTAAGTAAGGACAGGGATCAGTCTATTCAGGAAGGAGCCCCACCTCTTTCCCAGAGCTGGAGATGTGTAGTATGTATACCTCCATTTTTCTGTGCATAAAACTATGTACACATTGCTAGTTTACATAAATGGGACTATATAATATGTTCAGGTTTACATCATTCTTTCTGAAGGCTACATAACATTCCATTGTTTGGATATATCATAATTTAAACATTCCTTTAGCAATGGGTATTTAGGTTATATCTAGCTGTTTGCTATTAGGAAGTTGAAATTGAGCCAGCCCGTGGCTCACTTGTGAGAGTGTGGTGCTGATAACACCAAGGCCACGGGTTCAGATCCCTATATAGGGATGGCTGGTTTGCTCACTTGGGAGAGCGTGGTGCTGACAACACCAAGTCAAAGGTTAAGATCCCCTTCCCGGTCATCTTTAAAAAAAAAAAATTTTTTTTTTTTAAAGATGACCGGGAAGGGGGTCTTAACCTTTGACTTGGTGTTGTCAGCACCACGCTCTCCCAAGTGAGCAAACCAGCCATCCCTATATAGGGATGGCTGGTTTGCTCACTTGGGAGAGCGTGGTGCTGACAACACCAAGTCAAAGGTTAAGATCCCCTTACCGGTCATCTTTAAAAAAAAAAAAATTTTTTTTTTGAAATTAACATTTTGTACATATTTCTTTATAAATTTGTTCCAGTGTAAACACTGGGTAAATTCCTAAATGTGGAATTTTAAAGTCAAAAAGGTATGTGTATTTAATTTAGTTAGATTTTGCCAAATTGGCCTCCAAAAAGATTGTATCCATTTACACTTCCACCAACAGCCCGAGACAACAAAACTTAACAGCTGTGGGGAATGAGCCATCATGTCCTCATCTAAAACCTGGGAATAACACTGTGGATCCAGGAAGGCACATGTAAAGTGTATAGCACAGAGTGGTCACCACAAACACTCCATGACATCACCCTTCCCACCGCACCTCAGTGTACTGTCAGAACTGGGATCGTTGATAATCTTCCAGCCACACAGCAACACACAGGGTTGTCATGAGGCCCAACGGAAGGAATGTGTGTGAAGTGCTTTACCATAAACGTGGGAGGGCGGTCAGGACACATGAACTATCATTCCATCTTCTGCCCTCCCTGCCGATGCAAGCTGCTCACATTGAGACTGCTGTTGGCCCTGGAGGCTGTCTACAATGAGGGACAGAGTTCAGCTAATTGCCTCACCCCAGTGTCATAGTTAAATTTTGGCTTCCTTTGTCACAGGAACTGACCTGATGCTGTCAAGCTGTAGATTCACAGCACATCACCTAGATCCCCTTCCTCTCTGACCCCACCACCCCAGCCCACATCCACAAGCCAGACAGAGATCCAGGAAGTGGGAGGACATCATTTTGCCTTAGCCCTGCCACTGCTTGGTGGATGACCTTTCCTCCAAGCTGCCACATCCCCAGCCTTTAAGGGATTGGAATGAGGTGCTTTCCAAGGGCTTATCCAACTCTTTCAATGGCAAGAAACTGAAAAGAAAATTCAAGTCACTGGACTCTTACACTGGGACAAAACAGATCCTTATCCTCAAGGCTATGATTATATGCCAGACTGCACTATTCACCTACTACCCAGGGAGCCCAGTTGCAGCTTTCAGTTTGGGAGCAACTACTGCCCAGCCCTCTGCAAGTCACCTTGTGACAAAATCTGGCTGCTCTGAATCTGCATTTATTTCGTTTGTTATGAAGTTTTTTATGACAGAAATACAACCAATTTACAGAAATTTTAGGTTAGAAGGGGGAGAGGTGTAATTTATCTTGAAATCCTACAACTTGACACAACCAGTTAAGTTTCCTCTTAGACTCTGTTTGCTTTGTTACTGCTCGATCTGCCAGGAACCATGTAATGCCAAAGAGCATCTTGTTTGACTATTTTCCTTTGGTCCGAATGGCCAAAAACACACATGTAGTACTTCCACCATGTCTGTTTCTGACAGCTCTGATCTGGGAATATTTTCATGGAATGTTTTATTCTGAAACATAACAAAAATGAACCCATCAATAGGGTTCACACCCCTTCCACGCTGTGTCCTAAACACATTCTCTTCTGCATTTGCTCCTGTGATGGGACAGGGAAAGAGCATGGTGAAAAGACCTGTACACATGTCCCTGAGCCACCTCAGATTAGCTGTGTCCTTAGGCTCATCTCTTCACCTTCCTGGGCCTTGCTTTCCTCATCTGTAAAGTGGAATGAGAAGATAATACAATTCCTAAGATCCAGGAGGATCAAATAGGATAATGTACAGATAACCTGAAAGTATTTTTGACTAGAGAATGTACATCCAGAGAAAGAAAACAGCCTGTACCCAGATGTGATATGTCTGAATCTCACAGGTAGGCCCACACCTGGTGGTGTCAGAATTTCTCCAGGAGCCACCTCTATTCAATTGCTCTTTGTCCATTCTGCAAACTTCTGCCCCAGGCCATGTTCTGGGCACTGGGGCCCCGTCCTGTCACTGGGGCCCCAGGGGCTTCACACCTGGTTGGGGAGACTTGAGCACAGAGGACTTGAGCCTACAGTGCATCTTCCAGGACTGGGCAATGACCATGGGGCAGTAGGAGCTGTTTTCTGTCATTTCCCCTCCCTGGGATCTCAGGTTCACTAAGGCCTGAGATTGGCTGGGCAGGTCAGACAGAGGCGGCAGTACTCACGCCTGTAGAACAGCCCTGGTGAAGAGCCGTGTCTCCTTTGGGAAGGTCCAGAACCTTGGGATAGGAATCCTGTTTCACAGATGAGGATATGAGAGCCTAGACTCTCATATCACAGTGACTTGCCTGAGATCTCCCAGGAAGACAGAACTGGGAGCAGAACTTCAAACTGGGCCTCCAGAAGACCTGCACCTCTCTGCAAAACCTGAATCCAGTTTTGGAAGAGGAGCTGGCTAGTTAGCCCAGGTGTTTAGAGCATGGTGTTATAACACCAAGGTCAAGGGTTTGGACCCCCATACCAGCCAGCTGCCAAAAAAACCCAAAAATGTTTTGGGGAAAGAGGGAATCTGGGGCCTGGGGCCTTTTTTTTTTTTTGGTGGCGGGCCAGTGTGGGGGTCCAGACCCTTGATCTTGGTGTTCCTGGGTTCTTAGCTGCTGTGACCCTGAACAAGCTCCTGCCCCCTCTCTGGGCCTCAGTCCGTGTGCATAGCAAGGGCACAGGCCATTCCAGTTTTGACAAAGGGACACAAGCTCAAGCAGGCAGCACCTGAGTTGTGAGCCTGGAGGAGCTGTTCATGCTAGGGCTCTGTTCCTGCCCCCTCTGCTGCACAGGACTGAGATGACTAGCAGGAGGTCTGGCCTTCCCAGCTGACATCCCCTCCTCCTCCACGCCTACCTCATTCCCCGGAATGACTTGGCCTGACTCTGGCCTTCCAACTTGCTCCTCCCGGAAACAGCCCCTCCTACTGGGAGATGGAACCGCCAAGCAAGTTAAGGTGAACATGTGCTCCCTGAGGTGAGGCAACTTAACTCCTACAGTAGGTGTGGTCAGATTTGCCCCCATGAAGTGGAAGGGAAAGTTTCGAGATAGCAGAGGTGTTGCTGTCTCAAGGAATAAGAAAGATCCTTTCCTGGGTTAGCTATGCAGTCTTCCCAATAATCCCATGAGGTGGGAGGAAAACACAGTAAGGTACTTGCCTCAAATGGTGTAGCTGGTAACAGGATTCAAGTTTCCCTCACTCGTGTCTCCCTGCATAGCCCTCACTTCAAGAGACACTAAACCAAGCTCAGGGGCCAGAATGGAAAAAAGAGAGGATACAGGGAGAGTTAGGTTAGACACAAAGCTAGAATCACATCCCCACTACTGCCACTTGGTGGCAGTTAGGGGCATACCACTAGGGGAGAAGGGTATGCCCTGAAGCACTGCCCAATTGGGATCTGAATGCTGACATTTTCTTAGAGAGTTCAGTAGTCACAATCCAGCTGTGTCACTAGCTATGTGATCTTAAATCACTTAACCTCTCCGAGCCTCCATTTTCTCATCTGTAAAACATCATATCTATATTGCAAGGCAGTTGGGAGGAACACATCAGATGCTGCTGCATGAAGAGCACATGCCATCATTACTAATGGTGGCTACTGGAAGTGCTGTGACTCCCTGGAGTTGGGAGAATGGCTTCAGCAAAGACTAGTCCGCTGGTGACCCCTGGTGGCCACGGGGAGCCAGGGCATGAGGGCTGGGGTAGGAGTAGGGGAAGTCTTAGATTCGAAGAATGTTGGAATCCTGGAATCTTAAGACTTAGACTTGCTGAGTCCTCGAATAAGAGATTTTAACCACTTGAAAAACACTTCCTGAAGCTTTCTCTGCCAGGCCTGATCCCAGGGATTACTTTGTTCCCGTCCTAGACTCTTCCAAGAGCTCCCTGACTGAAAATAGAGGGAGGCAGATGCAAACGGGAGCTCGGGGACTAGAGACCTCCACCCAGCCTGGTAGTTGAGGAAAGGGTTCTCTGTGGGACAATCCTGAAGGACGCATTTGAATTGGGGGCTGGAAGGGAAGGAGGATATTCTGGGCAGAGAGAAAAGCATGTGTAAGACACATTCAGAATAGCAAGGAAATGAAGATACAGCTGAGAGGCCAGCAAGGTCGCATCCAAAGGGCTTTGAATTTCATGTCAAGGAGCTTCTCTAAAGTCAGTGAGGAACTTCAAAGGGTTGGCCATGTGACCATGACACCTGAGAAAGTCTCTCTCACGGTGAGGAGGGAACTGCATGGGGAGACAGCAAACCAGGTGGCCTGCAGTGGCAGCAGGGATGGAGAGGAGCATCAGACACAGCAGCACCAGGCTCTGGTGCCTGAGAGGGTGCAGGATGTGAAGGGAAAGGGTCCCATGTAGGTGAGGATGGGCAGCTGGGCATGTCACCTAGCAGTCAGGGAACAGCTGGGCCAAGAGTAGTGAGTGCCTAGGAGTCAGCAGAATGTAGATTTTGCCATTTAACCAATACTTGTCTGTCTCCACAGTTCTGTGCCAGCCCTAGTTTGGTAAAGGAAGTGGGGTGTCCAGGCTCTGCTCTATCTGCACTGACTCGTATTCAGAGGCTGCTCATGCAGATCAAATTTGATGCCAATGGAAGTGAAGCCCCAGGCCCAGGCCTGGCCCGTGGCTGCCCTCCCCCAGGCAGACACACACAAGCCCTTCTCTACCCCACCCAGGCTCTGCCTCTGGAGGAAAAGCGTGGCCCCAGTCTAACGGCAGGCCTGGTGGACCAAGTACTGTGCTATTACCATTCTCTGGTTTTACTTTCCACCAGTACCCCTCTGGGCTGCCTCCCCTGCTCCCTTCCTCAGAGCTCCCACAGCCCCTCCTCAGCCTCAGTCTACCCTGGGTGCCCAAGGGTCACATTCCCACAGTCCCAAGAGCCCCTGCTCTTTGCTGCCTCTAGGCCTTTCTTCATGCTGTTTCCCTGGTGAGACTTGAACAGCACCTGGCTCCCCAGGCAAAGGCTGGACTGGCACTGCCCCAGTTCTGAGTTGGGAGGGGAACAGGGGTTAGAGACAAGCCTGGATGTCCCCAAGTCCCGCAGCCCAAAGGTCTTTCTGTACCCTGAATGCTGCAAAAAGGCAAGCAGACAGAGTTTAGATAAAATTTTTTCCACTTTAGGGAGAGAAAGCGAGGAGATAGAGATACAAAACAAAAACTATTTGAATACCCCCAACCCACATTTGTTTTCAAACATACAGGCCAGGTCCTGCCAGGCCTTCTTCCCCACTAAATCCAGAGGCCACCCCCACTCCCATGCCCCATCCCTGCTGGCTCTGGAGCACCATGGGGCGGAGGGGCGCAGTTCTCCAGCTTCGGCTTTGGCCCAGAGCTTCGGCCCAGACCTCCAGCGCAGGCAGGGGGAGTCATGGCCCTAGTGCCAGAGCACAACCTTCCTGCCCTGGTCCACGCTCACCACGTGGCTCCCAGAGTAGCACCAGGCCACGGCATTGACAGCAGCGCTGAGGAGAGGGAGGGGCAGGCTTCAGAGGGGCATCAGGAGCTGGGCCTGCATCCTGGCTCTGCCCTTCACTATTGGACCCAAGCAGTTTGAGGCCCCTCTCTGAGCCTGTTTCCTCATCTGTAAAATGGGTTCACAGGGCTATGGTGAGGATGGACCCAAATGTGTGTGGAAAGGTACCTTATGAACTGTGAAGGGTTCTGGTGGGGTAAAAGGCGGGGGACAAGAGCTAGGGACTCCAGGGTCCCAGGCATGTCAGAACCTGAAATTGGCTTAGCGGGACTGGGGTGGGACGGGCAGGTGGGCAGGTGATGGCCATGCTCACCAGTGGGGTCCCCGAAGTCTGCTCTCCAGTTTCCCGGTATCTACATTCCAGATGTAAAGGGTTCCATCCCAGGAACCTGCCAGTGCATAGCTTCTGTCTGGGCTGCAGTGGCCACCACAGAGCCAGAGAAAAGGGGATCAGAGATAAGGACACACACAGGTCAGATAAGGCACACTCAGGCACAGGCATATGCTCACACAGACACACCTGAACACAGCTTTGGTCCAGTCAGAACTGCATTTGAAGCCATCAGCCCTAAGGACAGACAGGATTGGGGTCACAATGGAGGTAGCCACCAGTCCCTACCCTCAGCCAAGAGGTTCAAGAGCTTCCTCTCTCTGTCAAGGGGTTGGGTACACCTCAGCAGGTCCTGGTTTAGAGGGGCCCTCCCTGGAGGCCCATCTGCACTGGCAAAGTCCACAGGGTCAACAGGCACGAGGCTGGTACCTGAATACCTGGCGGATATTGCTGACACGCAGGTCAATGATCTTGAGTGTGTCATCACGGGAACAGCTGAGCAGATGAAGCTGGTCATGGCTGAGGTTCAGGGAGGTAACCCGACCTTGCACAGGGATGACCTGGGTGCAGCGGGGTCCTCTGAGGAGCAGGGACAGAGACGGGGTGAGGAACAGCCCACCAAGGACACTCCTGACAGGAAGGGGCTGGGAGAGCAGCCCTCCCAGCTAACCAAGTCCAGAGGCAACCCAGGGCATTGGATCCCTGGGGCCAAGGCTGACAGTGACTAATCTCCATTCTCCCCACTGCAGCCAGCTTCATCGAGGAAATTAAGCAGGCTTTGATTTGAGGCAGGAGCCCTTGAAACCCCTGGATCACTAAAATAAGCACCAGAGGAAAAGCAATGAAATGTCTGTCTTTAAAAATGTGAGAGAAAGGGAAGGGTTTCAAACAGCAATAGCTGCAGACCCAGTAAGTAAAAGCTGGAGGCAGGCCCAGCACTGGCTCTAGCTTTGCTCTTATAAACTATTTAAGCCCAATGTTGGGCTCTTAGGTTTAAAAAACTAAATGTGTTTTCCTGTTGGTTAAAAAGTGGTAACTAAATGGAATACAGCTCCCTAGAGGACCTGAGCCCTCCAAGGGTCATGCCCTGCAGCGAGGCCACCGGCTGGCAGTGCTAGCCCCACAACCTCACTTCCCCAAGGCACCCACCATGAGCCCTCCTACAGCAAGAAAAAACTCAGGAGCCCTGTCCCCAAGCCTCCACCATCCCACCCACAGCCCACAATGTCACCTGCTATCCCAGAACCGGATCTTCTGGTCATTGTGGCCACTAATGATGATATGGTCTCCACACACCACGTCATTACAGTAGGAAAGGACATTGATGGTCCTGGAGCCTGGGGACCAAGGAACACAGGCCAAGGCCTCAGAGAGGTTGATGGGAGCCAGGCCACTGAACATGTGGCGAAGCTGAGGCCCAGAGAGGTAGTGTCCTCCCAAGACTAAAATCCAGGTCTCCTGCTTCCCAGCCCAGGGCCCTCTCTGCCTCTTCTTCAACCTGAAGTCTGAGGTTGCCAAGACATCAGGCAGAAAGCACCAATGGGGATAGAAAAGGGGGGCCTTGGGAGATTTTACCCCAAATGCCTGTGAATCTCAGAGCCACTCCCAGAGAGCAGGGTGAGGTCCCTTATGCCCTGGGCCTGGGGGTTCCTGGCTGGTGGGGAGGGAGGCAGGGACTGGGGCTCACAGTAGGCGCGGCTAAGGTCCCACTCCTTCACTGTGCGGTCTCGGCTCCCAGTCACCGCCTGGTGCCTCGTTAGCTTGAATTTGGCAGCTGTCACCTTGTCCTTGTGTCCAGACAGTGTCTCCTGCCCCCTCCATCCCAGGTATGGATCAAGGGCATGGCCAAGACCCCATAACAGCCCCCCACTCAGTCCCAAGGCATGACCCCTGACACCCGGGCTGTCTCCCCAGTCAGGGCTCACCTTGGACCGTTCCTCCCCCACCTTCCAGAGCTGGGCAGCCTGGTTGTAAGTAGCTGCCAAAACCTGGGAGCCCTGGAGAGATGGGAGTAGAAGGAAGGGGCCTGAGCCTGGGCTTGGCCAAAGGCCAGAAAGCTGGGGTAGGGGCTGCCTCAGAGCTTCCCATGGCCCAAGTCACCAAGGCAGGCAGAGGAACCTGAGAACCAAGGAAGATTTGTGTAGGAGTCTGAGGTCCCAGTTCTAGGATACCCATGATGTGCCCTAAGTCCCAGAGCCCCAACCCTCTCGGTGTGGAGATTGTGGGAATGGGGCATCCCATGCCACTAGGACAAAGTCCCCTCACCGAGGGATCGAAGTCCACACTGGTAATGCTGCCACCAGCTCCCGCGAGGGTCTGGTTGGCCTCCAGGCGACCTGGGAGGACCAGGGGAAGGGACAAGTGAAATAAGGTCACTAACCTCATGAAACAGAGGAACTGGGACTGAGAGTAGGAAAACCAGTCTCTCCCAAGTCAAAGGACAGAATCGCTGGATCTGTTCTGGGGTCTGGGCAGGAGGCTGCACCTCCCCTAACTGCCAGCAGGGGGCCTGAGGGGACAGCTGATCACTTCACAGAGCTGAAGAGAACCAGAGGGAAGGGACTGTCCCTAAGTCACATAAGAGAAGGCCAGGCCAGCTGGAGACTTGCCTCTTCCAGGAAGCCTCCAAGAGCTGGCTCTGACTCCCCAACACACCCCCTCTACAGAGCACAGAGCTTGGAACAAGGCAGGGAGTTGTTATTTGTCTCTTAACTGAGTTCTGAGAGCTGAGTCCTGAGAGCTCAAGTGATACTAGAAGAGGAGGTAGGCTGGTGGACCCAGGAACTTGCTCCTCAAAGGCCTGTCCCTGTAGCACCTCAGGACAGAGGACCCCCACCTCCACCCCAGTGGAACCTTCTGAGCTCATCCCCCCTGCAGTTTTGGATCCCAGGAGCTGGCAGGCTCCCCTCTTCCTCACAGCAGCAAGCCCAGAGCCATAGGAATGTTCCAGGTGGGGAAAGACAAAGATGTCCAAGACCATTGCCAACCAAGGAGCAAGCTGAGGATGGGGTCTGGAGAGAAAGCACTGGGATGGCCTGCAGGGAAGGGATCCTTACCTCCCACAACATTCCAGAGGTGGATAAGGCAGTCAGCACCCCCAGTGGCCAGGAGGCTGCTGTTGGGACCAAAACGAACAGCACTGACCTCGGACAAGTGGGCATCCTATGGGGAGAAAGGGAGGGTGGTGCCCTGGTCATCCCCATATATGCTTCCTATGCACACTCACAGGCTCTCTCTCGTGTGCTACACACACATATGCAGCCTGTTGCGCACTTGTTATCCCTGCCCCAGGTCTCCCTGTCCAAACTTTGAATTTCAAACCTGGCCCCACCAGGTCTCACCATTTCGGCCTAGACCTCTGCAGCAGCCTCCCTGCATCCTACCCCACACTACCCTGCCTGGACTCCTGGTCTCCAAACTTCCTTTGTCTCCCTCTCCAGTCCATGCCCCCATTATAAAATGCACAAGTGGCTCCCACCACAAGCTGTGGAAGTAAGCTCCTGCTCCTGTTGAAGGGCCCAGCTTTGCTTCCGTGGCTCCTCAGACTGCCCCTGGTGCCTGCACTCCCATATCAGGACCCCCACCTGTGGCCCAGCTCCTCCCTTACCAGCACATCCTGCACCTGGGTAGGAAGTCGGGCAGCCACACACACAGGGATGCTCTGGTATCGCTGCTCTGAGGCTCCCCCAATTGAGTGACCTCTCCTCTTCTTGAAACTGGGGCAGACAAGTCAGGAAAATATTCAGCAAGACCTTCCAACATGGGAGCTTCAAGCTCCTCTAAGGCAGCAGCAACAGGAAACAGACATAGCCAGCAGCAGAATGCGACCCCAAGGGACAGCAAGCACGTTCCCCAACCTAACCTCTGACCCTAGGAGTCAGTGGGGAGATGGGGGGCAGTAAGGGACGAGTGCACAGAAAGTGCATAGGAGCAGGGCAGGGTCGGTGGGTGCTGAGAAATCTCAGGGCTGGGGTTTCAGTCCTGCCTTGCCACTGCTGGGGCCTATGACTCTGAACAAGTCCCTGACATTTCTGAGCCTCAGTTGCTCAACTGAGTGGGAGCTCCTTTGGTCTTCTGTGAGGACCTTGGCAGAGCCTTGTAAGGACAGAAAGCTGGGCAGGGGTTGGTGATGAGGCCATGCACCCAGCTCCTGCTGCTGGGGCCCAACAAGGACTCACACGCAGAAAGCTGGGCACCATATGGAAGAACAGACCAAGGCACATACACAGACCAAGCCTGAGCTCAGGGAGCATGACACAGGGCTCCAGGGGGCCCAACTCCTTCACACAAGTGAGTGCACACACACTTACTCCAGAAGCTCCTTCACCACATCCACACAGCGGGTCAGTGTCAGAGAGGTGGCCGAGGCAGACCTGGGGCAGAACCGAGAAAGTGCTAAAAGACTGGCTGGTGGGTGTGCAAAGAGCAATCATTCATCCTACGGTTTGCTGGAGACCTGGAGGCTCATAACCTCTCAAGCCTGGGACAAAAACTTGATTCCTAAAAGACCAGAAGAGTCATGACCCAGACCAGTCCCAGGAATGTGGATGCAGGGAGGGATGTGGCAATGAAAGTCTCCTAAAACCTCCACCATGATAGTAAGAACTGCCTCACCCCCCACCAAGTACCCACCAACAAAAGTCCCTGGGAAGCTGAGGTGGGGCGGGGGGTGGGGGGGGAGGAGACAGGGGAAAAGGGCAGAAGGGTGGTGCTAGAATAGCACAAGGCTGGGGGCAGTGGGGAGGGGGAAGCCTACACTTGCCCAGCAACCTCAGAAATGCCCAGCAGAGTGTGTGTCCTGGGATGGCTTGGCCAAGAGGCTGCCAAGGACTTTGGGAATCAGTGTCTCATGTCCCTCCCCAAGTTTCCTTCACTGCCCCAAGGTCTGGACACCAGGGACCTGCAAGGAAAGGCTGAGAACAGCCTTCAAATTGGGGAACGGAGCCAGGAGGGGGCAGTTTAGTGGACTGAATTATGTCCCCCCAAAATTCATTGAAGCTTGAATTTATCCCCCAAGTTTTATGTATTAGAAACTTAGCCCCCACTGTGACTGTTAAGAGGGAAATCCTATTATGGTAATTGAAAGGTGATGCCTTGCAGAGGTGATTGGATTGTAGGACCCTGGGGTACTGAATGGATTAAAAATGGTGGTAAGGGGTGTGGTTCTGAGGACTATAAAAGAAGAAGAGAGTCTGTCTCTCTTTGCTCTCTCTGCTTCCACCGTCTTACAATGTGATGCCCCTGGGTCACTGTCGCCACCACCAGATGGACTTTGGACTTCCCAGCCTCAGAAACTGTAAGCCATAAATTTTATTTTCTTTATAAATCACCCAATTCCAAGTAGTTTGTTATAAGCAGCAGGTATTAGTCCATTTTGTGTTGCTATAACAGAATGGTGGTGGCGACAGTGACCCAGGGGTCTCACACTGCAAGATGGTGGAAGCAGAGAGAGCAGAGAGAAGGAGAAACACAAACCCTCCTCTTTTAAAGCCCTCAGAAACACGCCCCTGACCACCATTTTTAATCCATTCACGACTGCACGGTCCTACAATCCAATCACCTCTTTCTAATACATAAAACTTGGGGGACACAATTCAAGCTTCAGGGAGTTTTGGGGGGACATAATTCAATCCACTACATACAGGCAGCCTCAGTGACAAGCAAATGAAGACAAATGGGGGAGACCAAACGGAGGGGCACCCAAGCATTGAATCCCCAATCAGATCCTACCAGTGTAAGCACATCTACACATGCACATATGTTCATATGCACTCAGCTATGCTCACCCAAGCTCATACACACACGTGCCTTAGGTCCCTGCATGAGCACTGGCCTGCACACCTGTGCCTACACACACATGCCTGGGACAGCTGAGCCCTGGGCCTTGCCCACAGCTTCCCTCCTGGCAACACCCATTCACAAGCCTCACACCCCACCCCCAGAGCTCTGGTCCTGGGCAGGAGGGAAAGGGGTGAGGGCAGAAGTCAGACCAGTCCCGGGAAGTCTAAGCTGTACCCCCATCCACCTCCCCCAAAGCCCGCTCCCAACCCAAGAGCTGGCCCCAAGGTCCTAAAAGAAGACTCTGGCAGCCTGTGGGGTGGGGCCCAGCTCAGAGCTCTGGGACAGCCACCTGTGTCCTCACCTGAAGGGCCTCTTCCACTTCTCACAAGCCTCACTCTCCAGGGACTCCGGCTCAGCGGCCTTTGCCAGAGTCTCAGCCTCCTTCCTGATCCCATCGCCTAAGGTGTCTGGGCTCCTGGGAGAGGTAACGAAGCTCAGGGAGGCCAAGAGACCAGGCCATCGCCTCCCGACCCCAGCGCCGGACAGCGCTGGTGAAGATGTGAATTCCCAGGGATGAGGGGTCCGTGTGAGCGTACATGCAGCGGGCTCGCGCTCTGGCTCCTATGGGCACACATCTCTGTCCCTATCCTGTGGGTCCCGTCTACGTGGGGCCTCAGGACTGCGGCTGTGCACACGTGCAGTCAGGTGCACTGGTCGCCGCGTGCAGGCGGGGGCGAGGTGTAGAACGTGGGCAGCGGCGGGGCAGCAGGGCGGCTCAGAGACAGGGGTCAGACCCGGCCCAGCCCCACTCTTACTCGCTAATGCTCACGGTCCACCTGGCAGCCTTCTTCAGCTCCTGCGACACCCGCGCCTGCTGGGCCCTGGGGGGAGAACAGCATCCTAAGAGCAGGGCGTAGCGCCGCGCTCCGCTTTCAGGCGGGACAGCGCCCGGTTCCTTCCCGCTCCCTTTCAGACAAGAGCCAGGCCGAGTCCTCCCCAACGGGGCGGAGCCCAGGTTCCCTCACCGCTCCCGGCGCTCGTTGCGCAGGTTGCGCTCGGCAGCGGCGCGCGCCTTGCGCTGCACGAGCCGCTCCAGCAGGTCGCGCGCCTCCTCCTGGAGCCTGCGCAGTGCCGCCTCCTGGAGTCCGGCTTGCGCGCGCAGCGCCTCGTAAGCCGCCCGCTGCGCCGCGTTCTGCGCGCACCGCTCCTCCACCTGCCGGGCGTGCTGCGCCCGCGCTTCCTGCAGCCTCGCCACGTGGGTCTCCAGAGCCGCCAACCTGCAGGGCGGGGAGAGCGGGCGATCGGTCCCGAGCCTCCGACGTCGCCGCCCCCTGGGAAGAGGCCCAGAGCCCAGACAGACTTGCTCGTGGCCACGCGCCCAGTCAGGTGGCTAAGCCAGGTCTCCAACCAAGCCTTGGCCCTCTGAGCCTGCCGCTCGGTTCCTCTGACACCAAGCACAGGCCTGGGGGGCGTTTGGGAACGTGGGAGAAGCTCTCGGGCCTACGCCATCCCGAGCCCCCAGAGGTGGACGCGGTCCCTCTGGCAGCAGCCCGCACCTTACCTGCATTGCCTCTCCTCCAGCTCGGACTCCAGGGCGCCCAGGGCTGCGCTCTTCTCCACCACCTGGTAGGCGATCTGGGGGTGGCAGGGGGCCGGACAGGTGGGCACGGGCGCCTCTGTGCAGGCCTCGCACCAGGCCACCAGCCCCTCCGGGCCGAAGAGACTGGTGAGACAGAGCCTGCCCGTCCATACTGCAAAGAAAGCCTAGACTCTGATAGGTTTAGGATCTTGGCCAAGGATGCACTGCTCTTTCGTGGAACAATGGAAGGGCCTTAGGCTCTGGAGTCTAACACCTCGGTTTCAATCCTAGCCTAGCTGTGCACTTATTTCTCTGTGACCCTGTGGTGGACATTTAACCTCTCTGGCAAGAGGAATCTGCCCCCGTTTCCTCACCTGTGAAGTGGGAATAATAGTTACCTTCATGGGGTAACGCAGAACTATTATGACGAATAATATTTAAAATAATAGCAAACGTTTATATAGAGCACTTACATGTGCCATGCCTTGTTCTGAGCACTCTACCCACATTAGCTCTTTTAATCCCCATAATAACACCAAAAGCTGGGTACTGACATTCTCATTTTACAGACGAGGACACAGACAGGTTAAATGTCTTGCCCAAAGTCACACAGCTAAGTAGCAGATCTGATATTTGAAACCCAGGCCACTGAACTACATTATGCTCCAAGTAAAGCTCTGGTCTACAGGAGAGGGTCAAGGAATTTGAGTTCTGTTCCCTACCCCTCCAGCAGCTGACTTTCTGTGCCATCTCCAACCCCTGGCCTGTGCAAGCATAGATCTCAGAGAGCAACAAGAAGCCCTGAGCAGAGGCACACAAGGCTAAGACCAGGAATGGACTGTGGGAGCACAGGCCCAGACTGAATACTGGAGCTGCCACAACAGCCCGGGAGTAAGGTGAGGGTCATTTCATCAGTATCCCTGCCTCACTCAGCATCCCTTCAGCTGAGAGCCAATAGCTAGGGAAGCCACAGAGATGAAGCCCAGCTCCTACCCTTTGGTGCTGAGGGGGTCAGTGGAAGAGAAAGACCCCAAACAAGGTAGTTCCCACCAGTGTGGCAAGAGAAATATGAGGGCTGAAGGCTGAGTGCGGAAATAACTGAGGCTGGGGGCTTTGTTGCTAACCTGTTCCTGTGTTCTTTCTCATGTGGTCCTGGTGAGGATGGATTGAGAAACCCTTCATCCTGAGCTATACACCAGCTCATGTTGATTCTGCCTCCAAATCCATCAACTTCTCACTGTGTCTTGTACATATTTGGCCTGGGCCACGTTACCCTCACCTCTCCCTGTGCACCTGCAATGACATGACTCCCTGTATTTACTGGCCTATTATAGTCTCCTCCAGTGGACTGAAAGCTCCATGGGGGCAGGTCTTGTTGCTGCTGCATTCCCTGTTCCTTGGATATAGCAACTGTCAATAAGTATTTGTTGAAAGAATGAATGAAGATCCCAGAAAGTGGATTTGTGTGGGAGGAGGTTCAAATCCTGACTCCACCTCTCTAAGCCTCAGTTTGCTCCTCTGCAACCATAAAGTTGTGGAGGATTAACTGAGATAATGCTTAGCCCAGTGCTTGCAAGGAGTCAACTCTCAATATGGTGTTAGTCAAATTATTACAGGGGAGATGGTGACTGACTTTAGATGTGACGTCCAAAAAGCAGCTGAGCAAGAGAGTTCGGAGCTCAGAAGAAAAGGCTGGGCTAGAGACAGGTCTGGGAGTCGGCAGACAAAGAGAAAATCCCCAAGGTCATGGGAGTCGGTGAGCTCATCCAAGCTCCAGGAACACCCACATTTAAAGGGAGGGGGACAGGAGGAGGGGAAGGATCCAGAGAAGGAAGTTCAGAAACAATAGCCACAGAAATGAGAGAAAAACCAGGAGAGTGTGGTGAAACAGAAGCCGAGAGATACCACTGCAGGGGGGCAGGAGGGCAGTGTGTCAGGTGGGGCACCACACCCGGCCAATGGACTAACGAACCTTATGCATTTAATCTGCAAATGTATATTGAGCATCCACTGGTGCTTGGCCCTGGAGTTGGGTGGGCAAGGGGACAGTAGAGGACAGGTGAATGGGGGAGTGAGCAGAGCAGGCTAAACCATCTGGAAGGAGGAGCAGGACCACCAGGCCCCTGCACACCTCACTCACCTCCCTGCGCTCTCCCCTCACTCCCTCCCGCTTCTGTACAGCCCACTTCATCCTGGGCTGGGGCACTCTGAGCCCTGGCCAGCTTCAAATCAGGGACTGGTACCCACTGGGGCTCACCCAATGCTTGCAGCCCTGGACTTGGGGAATGCAGCAAACACTGAGTACCCTTCACTTGCTGGCTCCCTTGGACCACATCTCTGCACCCCATTCTCATACCCCAGCCCAGTTTACCTCACCACAGACCAGCCGGAGCCCATCCTCCTCCTCCTGCCACCTCATCCTCAGAGTGGCTGGTGATGGTACTTGGTCTGAGTCAGCCCCTGACTCCTCCTCCCTGCCAACCAATCAGAGAGTGGTGCTCACTGTTCTCTATTCACCCCACTGCCCAAAAGCACCCAGGGGATGCCACATGAAAGCCTGAAACCAGAGCCATTAACTTTCTCCCTGGGAGGTAGAAGCCAGCAGGCCAATAAAGGAAAGAGCATGTCCCCAGAAATGAGCTGTTCCCCCAGGCCTTGGGTTCTCTGGCCAAGGACCCTCCTTAAGAAGCACCTCCCAACTCTGAGCCCCACCTCATCCCTGGTTCTCAGCTTCACTTCCTCTTTGGCATAGGTAGCAAGACCCTTTCTGTAGGCATTAGGTAAGGAATAGGGAGATGGAAAAAGACTGAGAAGGGGAAAGACAGGAGTGCAGGGGTGGGAGGGGAAGGAGTTGGGATAAATGCAGAGAGACTAACTGAGAAGGGTGGGGGAGAAAGTAGATTCTAAGCAGCTGGCTTGGGGGAAGGCTCAAGGGTCCACCTTCCCCACCCCCATCCCTCGACAGCAGCCAGGGGTCCATGAGGTGCCAGGGGGAGAATGAACCCAGCACAGGTGGTGGGGGCAGGGCCCAGGCAGAGGCAGCCCATTGTGACCAGGGACACACGTATACTCACCAGAGGCCCTGATGGGTGGTGAAAGTGACATCCTTTGGTTCTGACTGCAACTTCTCTGAGAACTTGGCCAGCAGCTCAGCCTTCTGTAGGAGATGGTTATCTGGGGGTGTAAGAGGGTGAGCATGGGGCACAGTCAGGCACTTTACAGCACACCACTGGCATACAAGTTACCTCTGTCTGGGAGGGGTGCAGGAGCCCAGGGATGCTGGGAATGGAGAAACTACTGGCAAGCTGGGCTCTGCCCCTTGCCTGAGCAGTGTTTGTGCAGCTCTACAATACTTCAGCCCTGACACAGCCTCCTCAGATGTCCCCAGGTCCACCCAGGAGAAGAGGACCTGCTCTCCCAGTGACAAGGATGACCACTGCTGGGGACAGGGATGGCTGGGTACTGTCCAGTGAGGGTCCTGAGGGAAGGAAGGGGCCTGGGTTGATTTGTCCCTGTCCCAGGGCTGGGTGTGGCCCCAGAAAATGATGAAACAAACTGAGCTCCACCTGTCTATAGCCTTAGGCAAGTCACTTCCTCTCCAAGGGCTCAAACTTTCTGAACTGAAAGAATCCTAGCTTCCCCCGGGGTTGGTGTAAGGTCCCCCCAGACCAGAAGAGAAAGTCCTTGAGCAATTATCCAGCAGACCTTCTTGAGTTTGGTGGTTTGACCCTGGAACACACCCCCTCCACTCGCATCCCTCATCACTTCCTCTTTTCTCACCAGTTCCAAGGTAGGGTGGGGGTGGTAAACCCAGCCCTAGCTCCTCAGCCTTCTTCCCTCACTCAGTGCCCTGCCTGTCACCTTGACTGAAGTCCCTGGGTCTGCCCTAGTTCTCGCACAAAACCCCCCCCTCAGCCCCCAAGGCCCTGCACTGCCACCCAGCAAATCTAAAGAAAGCCCCATTACGCCCAATTTACAGGTAAGAAACCTGAGGCTTACGGATATGACCTACCCAAGACCAGAGAGAACTAGACCTTCAGTCTGATTTCGGCCCTCAGGGTCTCTCCAGTCCCTCAGACTTGCAGCTCCCAGTGGGTGGGTGAGGATGACTCCTCCCTCAAACTGGATGGTCCCACTGTCCTTCAGAGCAGTGGAGAAGTGAGGCTGCCTGGGGTAGGGGGCTGGCCTCACAACCCTGAAGGGAGAGGACCAGCAGCCCGGAAGGTTGCAGAGAAATTTCACAAGAGTACATTCAGTTGTGTGGGCTCGGCCAAGATAAGCCCCAGTGAGGGGACAGCGAGATTATGGTCAGTCTTTCAACCCAGACATATAATCTCAGGTGACCAGAGGCACTACGCACAGGTGCACTCCTGTGCATACCGTCTTGAACTGGCGCACCCGCTCCCGACCAGATGCTCGGAAACAATTGAGAGCGTCTGACTTCCCCGGGCTCAGCCAGCTTCCTCCCGCAGCCTGGGGTCGCACAGAGACGCTCCGTAAGCCTGTGCCAGGATAACCTATCGGTGGCAGAGCTTGAGGCTCAGAGCTTCCTTTAGAGATTTAAAGTTTCGCTCCTTCCCTGGATTGGCCAGTAAGTGGCTGCTCCGGACAGTCCAGCGTCCCTTCACTGGGCTACGGGGACCAAATAGACCGGCCAGGCCCTACCCTGGGGACCGCCGCGGGGAGAAGGCACAAGAGAACCTGCAAAACCAACACCCGGAGACGAATTCGTGTCTAGGAAGCCCAGCTCGTGGGAGGCAGAGCCGGACCCTGAGAGGCGAGGAGGGCAGGAGTACCAGGAGGCCGTTCTAGGCACAGTCTGAATTGGAAGTGGCGAGAATCCTGGCCAGTCGGAGGTGGGGCGTTCAAGACGAAGGGACGAGGCGCTGGTGCACTTGGGCACAGCCCGAGGAACCTGATGAACCCACTCCCCGCCCCCGGAGCCCCGTCCCCTCAATGGCCATCTCTTAAGCACACCCCGCAGCCCCCAGGCGCACTCACAGGCCGGAACCAGCTCCAGGAAGAGGGCCTTTTGCGTGCGGTCCCGCTGCCGCAGCTGCCGCACAATGTGGCGCTTCCAGCGGGCGGCGGGGGCGCTGGGGGCGCAGGGCCCTGCCATGGCCGTCCTCTCCCACCTTCGCGACGCGCACCTCCCGCCGGAGAAGGCGCGGCCGCGGCGGGGGCGGGGGCCTCGCGGGGCTCCGTGACGTCAGGGGGCGGGCCGCGCCGGGGGAATCCCCGGATTGTACTAAGCGCGTTCCTGCGGGGAGAGCTGCGCGCAGACGTCGGAGGAAGCTGCCTCGAGGTCTGTACCGTCGGGGCCCCACCAAAAATTTTTACCTGCGTGGGGGCTTCTATTGTTGTCAGGGGAAACCAGTGAGGTTCGAGGTCGGAGTCTCCGGGGCGGCTTCCCCCACGCCTGTTGGCGCGCTCCGGAGGCGGGGCCTCCAAGGCTGGTGTTCCTTAACCCCACCGCGCCCGGACTCTCAAAAAGTGGCAGACGCTCATCGACCCCCGCTCTGGATCAGGTCGCGCTCTAAGCTAGCTAGGGACATGGAGACCCCTTCACACCCGGACTCTGAGTCGACGGACTCAAGGCACACACAGTATGACAGCGAGATAAGAAAGCACAAAGGAGGAGGAGATTGAAGGGAGAGGCCCCGCCTTCCGGAGATGGTGGCATGTTGAGTTGGGTTTGTGAGGGATGAAATAAGAAATGGCTAGAGGGAGAGGGAAAAGGACAAGTGCAGAGGGTTCGGTGACATAAATATTTCCAGCGGGTTCGAGGCTGGAAGGACTGGAAGCAGGATCGCCTGTGTGCAGAGCAAGGTTTTGGGACCCAGTTGGTCGCTTAAAATTTAGGTCCCTGAGAGTAAAGGGATGGCAGCTGATTTCATCTGGAAAACCCCTGGCGCAGAGGAGAGAAGGGGCTTGCTTGCCTGAGATTGCAAGGGAGTAGGCGGCTGAGCTGGCCAGCTGCCCAATATCCTGACTCAGGGCTCAACGGCTCACTCCATTTGGGCGGCCTCTGGAGGAGTAGCAACTTCTCTTGTGGGTACACTTGACAGTGAATCGTGGGCTGCAGGGAACTGTGACAAAACTGTGTCTAGCTAGGAGCATGTCCAGAGCTCTGCAGACATAGGTTGGTGTGAGAAATGAATGGAGGACTCACTGGGCCCAGCCTGATTCTAGGGCGTGCTGTGTGTGGTCCAGCAGGCCCAGCTCTGAGTGAGTAAATGCAGACCTGGCCATCCCCAGGAAACAATAGAAATTGGGTGATGTTGCTGTAGGGTCACCCGGTTGCCCCTGCTTTCTTTCTGTTTCCTGACTGAAAACCAGAGAGTTGCCTTGATCCCTTTGTGACCCCGCCAGCTGCAAGTTCCTCCAAGCAGACTTGAAACAAAACCATGGCCTTGAACATTCCCAGGCACTGATAAAGGTACCTAGGCTATTAAGCACAATGCTGGAAGAAACTGGCCCCAGCCCTGAGCCAATTCCTTGTACTCAAATATAAACTCCATATCCTGACCCCCTCACTGCAGATATAGGTAGAACGTCTCTCTTCTCTCGCTTTCTTAGTGAGGATATGCTGCAGCACTCTACTTAAGTTTCCTTCATAAATGCTTTGGAATGATCACCCTGGCATTTAATGCATCTTTATTTGAAATCCCAACCGGCCCCATCCCCAGACAGTTTGGGGCACTCCCTTGTGGGAACTCTTCTGCCACCACTTTTGGGGTAATTCCAGCCACATGTTCAGCAGGACAAGATGCTTAGGGAGCTGTGCAGGCCCCAAGGGTGATAGGTCTGTTGAGATTCTCATGGAGATGGGTCACAGGACTTGGAAAGCACTAAAGGCCAATGACACACTAGGATAGTGTACCCTGTTTTGTTTTGAAACCACAATAAACTGGGCTCAGTCCCCCACATATCACTGTCTTGGACCCTCCAGGCCTTTGCACATGCTATGCCTCTGCACCTTCCCTCTAGTCAGCCTGTCTCCCACTCATGTATCACCTCCTCCAGGAACACTTTTCTGCCTCTGCACTGAGTTAAGGCCTCTCTGGCACCAGCCCCAGGGTCTCCCACAGCCCTGCATATCCTCTTATCATCACAGCCATCACACCATGTGATGATCTGTGGGGTTCCCCTGGGGCAGGGCCTAGGTACCAGATATCTCTGCACCTCTAGCCCCAGCCAAAGCCTGGCCTGTTAAAGGAGTACTTCCGTTGAAGGTGGGTGGTAACATTCACCAGAAAATATGCCCAAGAGAAGGGCATGAAATTCATGGAGGCCCAGGGCCAGTTGGCAACATTGATGAATTCCTTTTAGGACTGGCTGACCTTGGGTTCTTGAGGACACCATAAAAAGAGCTCAGACCGTGTGCATTGGAGAGTGTATAAATAGGGCACTGCCTGTCTGTGAGGTGCAGATGCATTGTTTCTCACAGGTGAAGAGTCATATTGGGGACAGGGTTTCCTAATCCTTGTTTGACTCACAAAACACTCCTAGGAAATTTTAAATAATTTTATCATTTTTGAATAGTATATGATAAAGAAGTGATTGATTTGACACCCATTTAGTGAAAACATTTTTTTTTTTAAAGATGACTGGTAAAGGGATCTGAACTCTTGGCTTGGTGTTGTCAGCACCACGCTCAGCCAGTGAGCCAACCAGCTATCCCTATATAGGATCCGAACCCGTGGCCTTGGCGTCGTCAGCACCGCACTCTCCCGAGTGAGCCACGGGCCAGCCCTTAGTGAAAACATTTAAGATCTACTTTCTTAGCAAATTTCACATATACAATATAGTTTTTTTTTTAAAGATGACCGGTAAGGGGATCTTAACCCTTGACTTGGTGTTGTCAGCACCACGCTCACCCAGTGAGCAACCGGCCATCCCTATATGGGATCCGAACCTGTGCCCTTGGTGTTATCAGCACCGCACTCTCCCGAGTGAGCCACGGGCCAGCCCTTAGTGAAAACGTTTAAGATCTACTTACTTAGCAAATTTCACATGTACAATATAGTTTTTTTTTTAAAGATGACCGGTAAGGGGATCTTAACCCTTGACTTGGTGTTGTCAGCACCACGCTCACCCAGTGAGCAACCGGCCATCCCTATATGGGATCCGAACCTGTGCCCTTGGTGTTATCAGCACCGCACTCTCCCGAGTGAGCCACATGCCGGCCCATACAATATAGTATTTTTAACAATAGTCAGCATGATGCTATACATAAGATAGATAAATTTGACCACATTAAAATGCAAAATTTCTGAACAACAAAAGACACCATGCTCTGTTAAAATTCCAGGAATCTTTTTTGCAGAAATGGAAAAGCCGGGCTGGCCCATGGCTCACTCGGGAGAGTACGGTGCTGATAACACCAAGGCCACGGGTTTGGATCCCATATAGGGATGGCCGGTTGCTCACTGGGTGAGCGTGGTGCTGACAACACCAAGCCAAGGGTTGAGATCCCCTTACCGGTCATCTTTAAAAAAAAAAAAAAAAAAAAATGGAAAAGCCAATCCTCAAATTCATATGGAATTGCAAGCGGCCCCAAATAGCCAAAATAATCTTGAAAAAGAAGGACAAAGTGGAGGGCTCACACTTCCCAATTTCAAGATGCACTACAAAGCTACAGTAGTCAAAACAGTATGGTACTGGCATAGGGACAGACATATAGGCCAATGGAATAGAATTGGATCCAAGGAATAAACCCAGGCATCTATGGCCAATTGATTTTTGACAAGGATGCTGTTAGGTGTCAACTTGACTGGATTAAGGGGTACCCAGATAGCTGGTAAAGCATATTTCTGGGTGTGTCTGTGAGGATGTTTCCAGAAGAGAGTGGCATTTGAATCAGTGGACTGAGTAAGGAAGACTTTCCCTCACCCAATGTGTGCAGGCACCATCCAATTGGCTAAGGGCCTGGATAGAACAAAAAGGAAGAGGAAAGGTGATTTCTCTCTGTTGTCTGGAACTAGGACACTCTTTTTCTCCTGTCCTTGGACATCAGATGTCCATATTCTCTGGCCTTTGGACTCTGGTACTTGCACCAGCAGTCCTCAGGTTTCTCAGGCCTTCAGCTTTGGACTGAGAGTTACCCACTGGCCTCCCAGGTTCTGAGGTCTTCAGACTTGAACTAAATGATGCTACAGTTTCCCTGGTTTTCCAGCTTGCACATAGGCTACGGAGGAGGGACTTCTTAGCCTCCATAACCACATGCACCAATTCCCCTGATAAATTCCCTTTCATATATCTATATCTATAGCCATCTATCTATCTATCCTATTGGTTCTGTCTCTGTGGAGAACCCTGACTAATACAAACACCAAGCCCATTTAGTAGAAAAAAGAATAGTCTCTTCAACAAATGGTTTTGGAACAACTGGATTTCCACATGCAAAAGAATAAAGTTGGATGCCTACCTCATACCATAAAAAATTAACTCAAAATGGATCAAAGATTTAAATATAAGAACTAAAACTATAAAACTCTTAGAAGAAGTATTGGAGAAAAGAATAAAATTGAAATTGGTAATGACTTCATGGATATAATGCCAAAAGCATAGACAATAAAAGAAAAAAAAGGATAAACTGTACTTCATCAAAATCAAGAACTTTTGTGCATCAAAAGATACAACTAAGAAAGTGAGGGCTGGTTGGTTAGCTCAGTTGGTTAGAGTGCAGCCTTATAACACCAAGGTCATGGGTACAGATCCCCATACCAGCCAGCCACCAAAAAAAAAAAAAAAACACAATGAAATACCACTTTACACTTACTAATATGGCAATAATTAAAAAAAAGGAAAGTAACAAGTGTTGGCAAGCATGCAAGGGTGTGGAGAAAATGGAATCTTCATGAATTGCTGGTGGGAATGTATGGTGGTGCGGCTGCTATGGAAAACAGTTTGGAAGTTTCTCAAAAGGTTAACCACCATATGACTGAGCAATTTCATTCCTAGGTATAAGACAGAACTTCAAAAAGTTTATGGAAAATATGGAATTAAAAGATAAAAGTAAAAATATAAACTTTATTTCTCAACATAAGCTCCATCAAGTTCAAGACACTTTTGTAAGCACTGATACCAGACATTTATTCCATCCTTAAGGAACTG